TTTTTTTTTAATAAATTTTTATTAATTTTCCAAACATAAGATAAGAAAGCAAACAATACACAAAACACCGACATACAAACATATAAACATGTATAATTTCATAGCCATTTTTCATAAACCTTACTTTCCGGACTTCCCCATACCTCCCCTTTTCTGCATCCTTGTTTTATATTTCTTCAGCAACTCCTCAATCAACTAATTATTCAATTCAATTTCTTTTAAGTTCTTCTAATATTATTAGTTACAGCTGCAGTTCTCTGTTTCCCAACCCCTTGACATTTTAACATTCCTGAATTTTACAACAAGTTCTAAGATAAACTTTAAATTTCTTCCAATCTTCTTCCACTGTCTCTTTCCCCTGGTCACGGATTCTGCCAGTCAATTCGGCCAGTCCCATATAGTCGATCACCTTCGTCTGCCATTCTTCCAGTGTGGGTAGTTGTTGTGTCTTCCAATACTTTGCTAGAAGAATCCTTGCTGCTGTTGTCGCATACATAAAAAACGTCCTGTCCTTCCTTCTCACCAATTGGCCGACAATGCCCAAGAGAAAAGCCTCTGGTTTTTTAGGGAAGGTCCATTTAAGAACCTTCTTAATTTCATTATAGATCATTTCCCAAAAAGCTTTTATCCTCGGGCAGGTCCACCAAAGGTGATAAAAAGTACCTTCAGTCTCATTACATTTCCAACATTTGTTATTGGGCAGATGATAAATTTTTGCAAGCTTGACTGGGGTCATGTACCACCTATACATCATTTTCATAATGTTTTCTCTTAAGGCATTACATGCCGTAAATTTAATACCGGTGGTCCACAACTGTTCCCAGTCAGCAAACATAATGTTATGACCGATATCTTGTGCCCATTTTATCATAGCTGATTTCACCGTTTCATCCTGTGTATTCCATTTCAACAGCAGATTATACATTCTCGACAGATTCTTAGTATTGGGTTCTAACAGTTCTGTTTCCAATTTTGACCTCTCCATCTGGAAACCTATTTTCCTGTCCTGTTTAAATGTCTCGTTTATCTGAAGGTAGTGCAACCAATCTCGCACTTTGGACTTTAATTTCTCATAGCTCTGTAATTTAACTTTTTCCCCATCTTGTTCTAGAATTTCACAATATTTTGGCCATTTAGACTCCATATTAAGTTTTTTCACCTCTTTAGCTTCCATTGGTGACAACCACCTGGGAGTTTTACTTTCCAATAGATCTTTATACCGCATCCAAACATTGTATAATGCTTTCCTAACAATATGGTTTTTGAAACCTTTATGCTGTTTTACCTTATCATACCATATATATGCATGCCAACCAAATCTATTATCAAACCCTTCTAGATCCAAAATATCTGTATTCTCAAGAAGTAGCCACTGTTTCAACCAGCAGAAAGCCGCCGATTCATAGTAGAGTCTTAAGTCCGGCAGGGCAAACCCCCCTCTATCTTTAGCATCAGTTAGATTCTTAAATTTTATTCTGGGCTTTTTGCCCTGCCAGACAAATTTAGATATATCTTTCTGCCACTTCTTGAAACAGTCCATCTTGTCCAAAATCTGCAATGTCTGAAATAAAAACAACATTCTAGGCAATACATTCATCTTGATAACAGCAATTCGGCCTAACAAAGAAAGTTTCAACCTTGACCATATTTCTAGATCCTTCTTTACCTCTGTCCAACATTTATCATAATTGTCCTTAAATAAATTCACATTCTTAGATGTTAAGTTTACCCCCAGGTACTTTACTTTTTTCGTTATCACTAGTCCTGTTTCATTCTGAAACTTCTCTTTTCGGCCAATGTTAAATTTTTATCCAACACTTTCGTTTTCTGTTTGTTCAGTTTAAATCCTGCTACTTGACCAAATATCTCAATTAGTTCTAATACTCTTTTAGTACTAGTATCTGGCTGTTGCAAGGTCAATACTAGGTCATCTGCAAATGCCCTTAACTTGTACTGTTTGGCTCCGACTTGTACTCCTTTAACCAACTGGTCTCCTCTAATCATATTTAACAAAACCTCCAGGACTAATATAAACAATAGAGGGGATATTGGGCACCCCTGTCGTGTACCTTTTTCTATAGGTATTTCTTCCGTTACCACATTGTTTACAATTAACTTTGCTTTTTGTTTAGAGTATATTGCACCTATACCATTTTCAAACCCTTGACCTACCCCCATCCCTTGGAGATTCTTCTTCATAAAACTCCAACCAATATTGTCAAAGGCTTTCTCCGCGTCCACAAAAATTAAAACAGCCTTCCTATTAATGTCCACTTCTAACAGTTCCAAAATGTCTATAATGTTCCTCACATTGTCCGACATATATCTCCCTGGAAGAAAGCCAGTTTGGTCTTTATGAATCTCCCCTACCAACACTCTCTTCAGTCTTTTTGCCATAATGTCCGCAAAAATTTTGTAATCCACATTAAGTAATGATATAGGGCGGTAGTTTTTAACCTGGTTCTTTTCAGTCTCAGTTTTCGGTATAAGTGAGATAAAAGCTTCTTTCCACGACTCTGGTGCCTTTTTCCCCTCCAAAATTTCGTTACATACTTCCTTCAGTGGTTGTACTAACCATTCCTTCAACACTTTATAGTATCTGGCGGTCAAACCATCTGGTCCTGGAGCTTTTCCCAATTGCATCTTCTGAATGGCACCCTCTATTTCTTGTCCTGTTATTTTCTCATTCAAAATCCTTCTGCTTTGCTCTGAAATTTTTGGTAATCCATGTTTCTTAACAAATTCTTCTATTTCCTGTTCATTAACTGGCCCTTGTGCATATAATTTCCTGAAATAACCTTGAAAACAATTACTTATCTCATTTGGTTTGTGGATAATCTTTCCGTCCACTTCTAAACTTGTCACAGTGTTCAATTTTTGCCTCTTTTTCAATTGCCATGACAGAAATTTCCCACATTTATCTGCTGATTCAAATGTCTTTTGTCTCATTTGCTTTATTTTCCATTCTATCTCTTGATTCATCAATTCCATATATTGCACCTGATAGTACTTTATTTCTTTCAGAATCTCATGAGACTTTGGTTTAGACCTCAATTTCTTTTCACCTTCTTTTATTTTTTCCAGAATTTTTCCTTTCCTTTCATTTTGATTTTTCCTTTTTATGGAGTTCTGTTGTATTAGGAAACCTCGCATCACGGCCTTACTTGCGTCCCAAATTATTCTTTTTCCACTTCTGTTCTCAAGTTTATCTCAAAATAATCTTTCACTGTTTTTGGGCCTTCTTATAAATCTCTTCATCTCTGAATAGGGTGTCATTCATTCTCCATCTGAAGGATCCAGTTGTTGTAAGTTTCATCTCCATCTTTACAGCATTATGGTCGGAGCAAGTCTTTGAGCAGATTTCTACCTTTTTAATCCTTGGCGCCATACTGCTAGTTACCCAAATTTGGTCAATTCTTGTCCATGTCATTTTTGCTTCAGAGAAAAAGGTTCCCTCTCTCTCAAGAGGGTTCCTTGTTCTCCAAATGTCAATCAAGTCCATAGTTTCAGTCATTTCATAAAAAGTCTTTGGTAGTCTCCCTTCCTTGGAAATTACTTGTCTCTGTGCTTTGTCCATATTTGTGGAAACTACGCCATTCATGTCTCCCATCATTATAATTCTGTAGTCTAAATAGTCCATTAAAGTCTCATGCAACTTCTTAAAGAATTCCGCCTTCCCATCATTTGGTGCATAGATTCCAACTATCAAAATTTTTCTCCTTGAACTTGTATTTCAATTGCCAGGTATCTTCCTTGTTCATCTTTAAATATCATCTTTGGAGCCAATTTTTCTTTTGCATAGATCACCACGCCTCTTTTCTTAACTTTATCTGATGAAATAAATTCTTGTCCAAGTCTCTTATTTACCAATAATTTCCGATGTGTCCTGGTCACATGAGTCTCTTGTAGGCATATTAGATCTAATTGTTCTCTTTTCAAAATATGAAAAACTTGGCGTCTTTTTCGGGAAGGTTCAAACCATTACAGTTCCAGCTAAGAAGTTGCAGAGACATTTTGTTATTAAGTACCTGTTCCTCCGACTGCTCCTAACTTTTGTTCCTCTTCAGATGATGGTATGAGTCCAAATGACAAGTTTGCAATGTCTGTCACTCCTTTTTCTTGTATTGTTGTTTCTACTGTTCCTTTCTGCAAGTCCTCCTGATATCTCTCCAGAAACTGTTCTTTATCTTGAACTGTTCTTATTTTAACCTTCCTTCCTTTGAAAGTAAAAGACAATCCTTGTGGAAACTCCCACCTGAAGGGTATGATATTTTTCTTCAGCAGGTAGACCAAATCTTTATAGAAGGCTCTCACCTCCAAAATATATTTAGGGATATCTTTAAAAATTTGTACTTGACTATTTTCAATCTCCAATGCCTTTTGATAATGCAAATTCAATATCTTATCTCTTTCTCCTTTGGATCTCAATGTGATCAAACAATCCCTTGGCTTCTTACCCTGCCTCCTGCCGAGCCGGAAAGCTGTTGTTATTTCAAGTTCTTCTTCCTGCAGCTCCTCTT